ATCTATAGATGTTAGGAGATCTCCCTCCCAAGATGGATTGAAGGGAATGCATTTTGAAGCGTTTGTATGTTACGTGGAAATTGAGCTGTTTGAGATCTAGGATGGCTCTCCACCCTCCCGAGCTCTTGGGACCAGGAAGAGTATCAAGTAAAACCCTAGACATTCCTGACTTGACAGGATCGATTCAATCACCCTGATATCTAATAAGTGTCGGATTTTGGTCTCCATGAGTCCCTTCTTTGCAGAGGCAGTTGATGAAGTGCCGTGGATGAGGGGACACAAATTCCAGAGTGAGGCCCAGCCTCACCGTCTGCAGAACCCATACATCTGTGATGGTGTTTTCCCACTGACTGAGGAAGGCCTGCAAACGACCACCAATGGGAAGGTTGTGTTGGGAGTCACTTGGCTCTATGGAAAGGCCTGTTTCTAGACCTTTGGAAAGGCCTCCTGGAGTAGGGCTATTGCCTGCCTCTGCCTTGGAAGGATCGTCTGTCCTGAGACCTGTCGGTTCCCTGGGAATAACTTTGCTGAAACTGGGTGGCAGGGAATGCAGTCTCAGCTGGACGAAAAGGGCTATCTGTGAGTGTAGGGAGAGGACCTGTGGTCCGCTCGCCAGTAGCTATATGGCAAGACCTTCTTTTTGTCCTTGGTCTCTACTAACACCGGATCAAGGGCCTCCCTGAAAAGATTGTCTCCCTTGAAGGGAGCCTAGGCTAGATGCCATTTTTTGTCCTTATGTCTGCCTGCCAGTGATGTAGCCACAAGAGTCTTTGCATGGTGAAATTAGATGTCAATGCCCTTGATGCGAACTTAGCCGCGTTGACAGTGGCATCCGCAGAATACTTGGTGGCTGCTGCCAGCTTATTTATATCCTGGCGGAGCCTAGTATCCTCAAGGGGAACTCTGGCTAACAGCTGGCAGAGCCAGAGGAGGGATGCCCTATTGAAGAATGATGCCACATTAGCCTGATTAATGTCTTATAGAAGGAAGTCTCCGCTTTCTTGTCCTCCACCTTCATACCCTCCATCAGATCTGAGGGAATGAGGGCCAAGGATGCTGGAGAGGCCACCGGAGCATCTACCTTGGGCCACTGAAGCAGTTGCTCTAGATTTGGGCCTATTAAGTAGAGCTGTTTGTCACTTCCACTCCATGAACAGCCATTCACTTTGATCCTGTGGCTCCTTAAGCAGTTCCGTGGAATAGTCTGCCACTGCCATATTAGTAACTGAACTGGCCTTATAAAGGAGGGACTTAAAAAGAGCTGGACGGAAAAGGCTGATATATGCGGGTCTATCTGGGGCCATGCCCTTGTCCTCTGAAAGCTTTTGGTCACCAACCTCCTCTTCCTCCCCTGCTAGAGAATGCTCACTGCGTACTGATGGTCTAGGGCGGTGGTTCTCAACCTGTGAGTCGGGACCCCCCTTTGGGGGTCGAACGACCCTTTCACAGGGGTCGCCTAAGATCATTGAAAACACATATTTTCGATGCTCTTAGGAACCGAGACACCAATTTTATGGTTGGGGGTCACCACAACATGAGGAACTGTATTAAAGGGTTGCCGCATTGGAAAGGGTGAGAACCACTGGTCTAGGGGAATGAGGTTCCTGCAAGGATATCAGATCTTCCTCCCTCTGGGCCTGCTTGTCTGAGGATAGAACAAGGAAGCTCCTACACTGGTGCAGCCTCAAATCCTTGAACAATGGCCCCAGCAATGTAAGTATGCATTTCCGGGGTCAGGCCAGGAACTTCTGAGGAATGTAGGCCTGCTGCTGTCAGTGTGAACGTTGCTAAGGGTGCGGAATCCCTCGGGAATTCAGGCAACTCCCCACCTGCGAATCTTCGTCAAAACAGGCAGCCTGTAACACTGGAAGCTCGGATACTTTATCAGGGAGCCAATTCTGTGCTTCTTCCATGGGCTGAGGGATAGGTTCTGCTTGTCCTGGAAGGAAGGCTCCTCCCTTAAAGCTCTCTGTGCCTTAGCAAATTGTTTTTCCAGCGCCCTTTGGCTTCTGCTGGAGTCCCTGTCAGAAGCAGCATATGTCTTATTGACTGAAGGGCCTCTGGACTTGGCACTCCTTGAGGGCCCCTTGGAGATGATCTGATCTCCTTAAAACTGCTCTTCCCTGTTGGTTGGAAGAGGGCCCAAGCTGAGGCTTCTTCCCCGCTGTGTGATGTTCCGCCACTTACAGGCCGGACAAGTAATGTACTGCCTCACACGCAACAACTCACCACTTCCTGCAAGGAATGAGTTGTATGACAGGCCCGCAGCTCTGCAGTGCCAGAAAGATGATTTTAGCCTCAATGGAGTGTGACCGAGTTCTCGGACAGTGATCTCTGGGAACTAGGCGCCGGTCTGCGCTCTGGTGTTCTTGTGAGAAAGCCCTGGTGCTTCCACATCAGTGAGAAGACCTCTTATTGCACAATCAAGCTGATGTTAATTCCCAACGTCTGTTCCCTTTGAGCGTCTTATAGACGTGAATCCGGGCATGCTCACTATGGCTTGCCAACGAGCACAAAACTAGTTTTGGTGCGAAACCGGACTCAGCTGTTAATTGCTTTTTATCCCTCCCGCTTTTGGCATTCCCTCTCCCTCAACCAATCTGATGGACTGACAGTGGCTGGGAAGTCATGAGAGTCCTTTTCGGCATGGCAGCCGGTGACCCACCTCGCTTGCTGGAATGTAAAAGGCGATGTGATCAGAGGATCACAATTAGCCACAAGGAGGCTAAACGCTCTCTGAATTTCTTGTTTCCTTGAAGCCTCTAAAAACGCTGTTTGAAGACTTCAATTTGTCTGCTTAGTTGATTGAAGAGAGAATTTTAGTCACGTCTCTTGGGCTCAGACTGAGTTGAGAAACTGAAAGCAATCAAGCCAGGGAGGTGTGGCCCAAGCTCTTCAAACTCAGTCACTGAGCAGATAAGACAGAAATTGAATCCAAGCTTGGATTCTCCAAACAGCGCAAAGGAGGACAGAGCTTTTCTGAAAGGTCTTTTGGCCTTGCTTCTACCTTGGGTTTGTTTATAATTGTTTAATTTACATTTATTCTGTTTTCATTAATTTATAAAATTTTAATTTGTAGATGTTTATGTACAGTATATTGCTTCTTGTATATTTTTCTTTTAAATTGCCAAGAGTCCTTAGGATTTGGCAGCCTATACTGTAATAAACAAACAATCCAGTTCTTTTAAATCAAAAGAAAAGAAAAGCCACAGACAGAAAATCAAGTGCTTTTGATCAAACAAGAACATGAATATTGTACATGTGTTTAAATTAAAAGTTAAAAGTTAATGAAATATTTGAGCTTTTCCCTCCTGCAATTCTAAAAAAACCTGACAATCCTATTATGATATTCACTTGAAATAAACCTGCACAGAAAAGCAAATAAAACAGAAAAATCATTTTCAGAAACACAAGACTACATATAGAAGGATCTAGTACCACGTACTGCATTAATGTAGAAGCATGAACTGTTGCAGGTACATAACATGAAAAAAATTCCCCTAACAGATGAATAGATTTCATCTAATCTGATAGTACAGCTATATCTATCATTATAATAATTATATAGTTACTATTGAACCTGCACTGTAATGGTATAATTGGATATAAACAAAGCTTGAGTCATATGAAAGAATTTTTTTTATAGAAGTTCCACAAAAAAAAATACTATACTTTAGAAAGTGCAGACAAACTAATTTTTAGAATCAAAAGTACTGTGATTGCTAGGGATACAGTTCTAAAGAATACTTCAAGGGCATGTTTCCATTTCCAGTGTCACTAGCCAAAATGATAATTCTTCTCTGCAAGAGGATTGTTAACAACTGAAAAAATGTGTATGTGTAAAATATGAAAAACAACACAAAAGAATATAGTTCAGGCAGAGTATGGCTGAATGATTAGTGGAGTGAATGAAAGCACTTTATGCAGCAATATTTTCTTGCAGGTCTCAGATGACCATGATGTATGTATTTTCCAGCAACAGTTCAGCAGATTTTTATCCTCTCCCTTTCCCCCCATTTTGAAAAGTTTAAAACAGGAAATCAGCCTCACAGCACCCTTCCCCATATTAGACAAGCTGGACTAAAACTATCACTACAAACACTAAGGACTGCTTCCTAGGAATATACAAATCATTACTCAACAGCTGAACAGTTCTAGTTTGAGGGACACAGCTTAACACCAATAACACAATGTATAAGTAGAGAATGACAACAGACTGAAGAGGCAAAGTTAGATACAAATCTAAAAAAAAAATTTAAGAAATTTCTAAAACAAGTCAAAATTTTCATCAATTCATGGGTTGATTTACTATTATGTTTCAACTTATTTCCCATGTTCTTTAATAAAATTAAATCACCTTAAATGATATCAGCCAAATAAAAATAGCTAAAGATCAGCATAATACCCATTTCCATATTTCTTTGGCCCAGAATAAGTGATAATTTTCTGCAAACAGTTTCAGTTATAAAAGTGCTTTTTCAGGGGGCAACTGGACCTTTTTTCTTTGAAGACGTTTTGCTTCTCATCCAAGATGCTTCTTCAGCTCTGACAGAATAGTCGGGAATGTAAAGATTTATATCCTTGCATACAGCTGGTCATCTGCATTCTTTTAAAGGGTCACTGAAGTACTTGGAGGTTTTATCGAACACCCTTCGAATGGTGTGGGAGTATGAATGCATTTCCAGAGAAATTGCAGACTACAGGAACCATTAGCACAACTCCGGTAACCCTGAGTACACAGATAAACCTCCAAATGCTTCAATGACCCTCTAAAAGAATGCAGGTAACCAGCTGTCTTCAAGATATAAATCCTTCCATTCCTCATCATCCAGTCAGAGCTGAAGAAGCTTCTTGGATGAGAAGCAAAACTTCTTCAAAGAAAAAAAGCCCAGTTGCCTCCTTGGGACAAACATGACCTGGATGACTGAGAATCTCTACAGCATTTCAGTTACATTGCACAGACTAAAAACTTTTTTTCATATGGAAACTTAGCAACTTACCTACAGGACTTGTTGAAACTCTCTGAGGAGGTCGGAACCCTGGAGCCTTAGAGTTATCAGGATGTACACTTTCCATGTGCCCCATTACAGAGTTACTTAAGAAAGTAGACTGGACAGTGAAAGATTGATCTGCTGCTGCTCGTGTGGACATTGGGCAATCTCCCCATCCTTGGTTAGCTGGCATCTGGTTACTATCAAAAAGACTACTAAAATGATTAAAGAGTGTTGCTGGCCCAAAGGTAGGAGGCAAAGGCTTGTTTGATGGATTAATATGCATCTGAGAACCATTCATAATGTTCATGGGTGATGATAAGTGAACTGTAGTAGATGGACCTTGAGATGGTGTTAAAGGTACGGCATTTGTAACAAAAACAGACTGGGTTTCTTGATGGAGATTTGCATTTGGTACCATTGAATAAAAAGAACCTCTAGGCTGCATTCTGTGAGAAACTCTTGGTGCTGGTACAGCTAATTGAGGTAAGTTACCATTGTCCTGATTTTCCGAAGCAATCGATCTAGGCGATGATAAAGTTAATGGAGTGGATTCTGAACTTGAAGAAAAAGGCATAGTTATAGGAGGACTTAATTCAGGCATATTAGCTGGCAGTGTTTCATTTGGGACATTATCTGGAGGTGCAGGACTGCTGGATGTGCATGACTCTAGGATTCCTGGGCTGCTGCAAGATGTGATACTGCTACTAGTAGCAACCGATGATGACACACATGCAATGCCAACAGGTTGTTCTGGCGCTGATGCCTTTTCTTTGGGTACTGAAACAGGAGGAGTAGCATCTGTTTTAAGTGCAGATTGCTGTGCCTGTGGAACATTAGAGAGTAGAAATGTAGTGGGAACATTCCCAGTATTTTCATGTGCAGGAGGAGTTGAAGGCAGTGTGCTACATGTTGTTGTCACAGTTGAGATTGCTGTCGTCATGGTACTTGTTTTAGGAATGCAAGCAAACAGCTGCTTCCTGACTGATGATGGAGTCCGATTATTTGTCACACAAAGTGGCTGAGAGGATGGAACTGCTGAAGAGACACTGCCAGGACTGCTAGAAGCTAAACCTGTAGGTTCCGACTGTAAAATACTACCATTCTGGATACCTATGCGATTTGAATTATTATGTTTTGGAGAGCTATTTGTGCTGCCTGGGTTAACTGGTCTCACTGGGAATGGTCCCCAAGTATTTGGAGAGGTTGAAAATGTTCCTCCAAACTGAGCCATAGGTAAACGAGGGTGTCGAATTTGTTGCATAGTTTGAGCAGCCAATAAAGCAAAGTGAGGATGGGAATAAGCTAATGGTAAAGAGACTGGAAAAGAAGAGCGCACATTTGCTGGGACATTTTTGCTTAATTTGTTAGCAGACTGGAAAGTAGATAGTGTTGATGACTGAGACGTGACAAGAGATGAAGCTCCAATAGAAAATGAGTTTTTGTTTGAAGCTGAAGCAGTACTGATGCCAGATGAAAAATTGGTATGGATTGATTTAGTGCTGGAAACAGGTGTTCTTATATGAGTTTTAGGAATTAAATCTTCCAGTTCCTTAGCAGGATCTTGAATAAGGGCATTAATAAGTTGTACTGCATATCTTGTTGATTCTGTTCCACCCCTGAAACAGAAAAAGTTATGTCATTTGTAAAACACAATTCTTGTTCAGTGCAATTTAATCCAACTGAAAATCAAAGCAAAATCTTATGGACTCTACCTTATGGTGATCATTCTTTCTCCATTTTTATCTTTTTGTTTGTCCACATCAATGTGAGCACCAGTAACATCCTGAATTGCTGTGATATTGCACCCACCTCTTCCCATTATTCGAGACACAACCGATGCTGGAACAGACAGCTTTTTTGACCTAAACATTAAAGGTTGCCATTATAATTGTTGTCAGGCTTATTATTAACAAATAATAACACTATAGATAATTGCAGAATGGGGGAGGGGGGTAGACAATCTGTTGAACTTTTCAATCTATTAAACCTAAAGAGCCAATCTCAAAGCACTGCTCTTTTAACTTAATTACTATCAAAGGTGTTTCTAGATTTTGAAGTGAATCTTCAGTTAATTTGATTTTCTTTTAATGATTACTATTAAAGTTAACTCATACTTAAATAACTGAATTTTAGAAGATCATCTTACTTCTCTTCTTTATTCTCAGCCAGGATCTTTACAGTTAACGATCAAACTCCATAATCACTGTAAGTTTAAACCAAAACTTATGGTATGTACTATTAATTTGAAAGCTGTAAGCTGTGAAATATCTACATACAGTGACTGCATTTCTATATGTTTATATGGGATAAGAACAATGATCAAGAGACTGGAAACCAGAAGCTGCAAAAATACAAATAAAGAGGAATTTTATAGCATTCTTCAAGCAAGAGAATACCACAGCTTGATCCTTAATGCCCGTAAGGTCAAAAAATATTTCAAAATTATAAAATTATAAGCAAATCTTGACTGAATGCTAGGTGAGCCTTTTAATAATAAGAGTGGATCCAACATGGAACCAATTATCTAAAGAGATAATGGGTTCCTGGTTGTTAGATGTGTTCAGGATTAACATGGAAGGGGCAGGGTAGATTCTTGTCTGAGATGATTTAGTCTATATTATATTAATGTTGGTTAGACTTCATAGCCTAAACCAGGGGTTCTCAAACTTTTTGAACAGGGGGCCGATTCATGGTCCCTCACACTGTTGGAGGGGGGGGGGGACCGGCTGGGTGGTCATGTTAGGTGGGCTGGGTAGGTGTGGCCAATTTAGCAGTCCATTTTGCCTTTGTCCTTGCTGTACTTGCTCAAGCCAAGGAATCTATTTACTTAAGAGTGCCGCGCCCTGCCCACCAAGGGAAAAAGAGTGCAAACTTTCTTGTCACTTGCCTAACTTCATTAAAACAGCAGCTTCAGGCTCCTTAATACAGGCCATTAAAAAAAGAATAAAACAAACAAGATTTCCTTCAAAATAACTCCTGATCATATGTTTCAGATGACCACACAATAAACCAGACTGAGAACTGCACCAATTAAGACTGCAACTAAAACCCCCAAGATGGGCTTTGAGAGACACTGGAAGCAGGCAGAAGAAGGCAAGAATCAATATGCACACCCACCCACCCACCCTCCAATGGTGAATTAAGGAGGGATAAATGGTCCCTCAGACTGTTGGGGGCCAGACTATAGTTTGAAAAAAAACATGAACAAATTTCTATGAACACTGCACATATCTTCATTTGTAGTGCAAAAAAACATGAAATAATACAATATTTAAAATGAAGAACAATTGTAATCAACATAAATATACTACTAATTCAATGGGAAGTGTGGGCCTGCTTATTTGGGATTACAGGGCTAAAAGTTTTTTAAGCCCGGAGGAGAATTCACAAACTGATTTGCTTTTTGCCACACTTGTGCATGTGTATACACACACATGAATATCTACCAAAATTGTTCAGCAACCAATTTGGTGGATGTACTTTATATATGGGAAGAATCAAAGCAGTGGGTGAATTCTTCTTCAGGTATTATACTGCAGTTGCATTTTAATTAATGTTAGCCAACTTCAGCTGATTTTGAAAAAGCTAGGAGACATGGAGACATGTTCCTCACCCATCCACTTTTAAAGCGCTACTTTAAAAGCAGCCCCTTCCCTAATCACCCACCGGCCCTGGATCACACAGCTGTGAAAAACATCTGAAAGGCTGTTTTTAAAGCACTTTTAAAGACTTTTTAACACACTACTTTACAAGCTGACAGCTGCTTTTCATCCCACCACTCCACGGGCCAGATATTTTGCATTGGCGGCCCGCATTCGGCCCGCAGGCCATAGTTTAAGGATGCCTGACCTAAACCTTGTAATTCAAGAATTCTAAGAGATTTTCAAACACTAATTTTGCCTCTGCATTCCAGATCAAAAATTTTCTTATTCTCTGAAGTTTCTTACAGGTATCAAAGTTTATTACCAAACTGGAAACAAAAATTTTGAAACTGCAAATTATTTTAGACATACCTCAAGAGAACTATTTGCACAATTACAATGCTATAAACCATTCTGATTACTGTATTTTTTGGAGCGTAAGACACACCTTTCCCCCCCCAAAAAAGAGGGTGAAAATCTGAGTGCGTCTTATACATTGAATACAGCATTTTTGGCCTCCTGAAACCCCGCCCCATTTGCAAAAATGGACGTGCAGAGGATTTGGGAGGTCTGCAAAGTGCTCCTGGGGGCTGAAAAGGGCAAAAATGAGCGTAAATGGGCCATTTTTTGCTCGTTTTTGCCCCTCCCCCAGCCCTCAGAAGCACTTAAAGACTTCGAAAAATACAGTACCTATGTAATTATTGATCACATTGCCAGCAGCAGGAAGACTTATATTTTACTTTCAAAACTAAAAAGTATTCATATTACTTTTATTCATTTATTGAAATGATATTTTGCTCTAATCATTTACTCATTTCAATTAAAAGTATATATTAAAAGTTTCCATCAGTTATAAGTTAAAATTCTCAACTATTCCTCATATAGATTCCAAATTCTTACTCTCCTTAACTTTCATATAGTGATATGAAAATATGATAACAGTCTCTTCATGTTCCTCACTGCAATAATTGCTAGGGTTCTAAACAGCATCAATATTTCAATCATATCTTTGCTTTTTATTTATTCTTAACTCTCTTTTCAGTCCAATCCACAATCTTAAATTGAGTGCACCCCGTATACCTTTTTGCTCCTGAACAGCAGCGTCCTCCCCTTTGCAACTGAAATTGTTCAACCGGAGTAGACTGTAGAGTGTTGCTAGGGGATGTCTCTTTCAAAACTCTGCCCACTTGCCTATCAAGTAATAAAAAAGCAGTTTCATAGGCAACAAAGAAATAAGATACAGATTTTAATCCCAAAACCCAAATACAGGCATGAGAGCCAGTTGGATGACTTTGGGCCAGTCACTATCTCTCTGCCTAATGAACCTCACAGGGCTGTTGATGTGAGGAAAGCAGAAGGCAGGAAACCAGACCCAAAATGGCCCAGATAACCCACTTCTTTCAGAATTCTTCTCAGCAATCTTAATTAGAAAGGTAAGGCTGCAGACAGAGCAAAAGTTACCTAATATGGTCAAGTGCAGCAATGACTTCCTTCAGAACTGGTGAGATCATTCCTTATTGCAAAGAATCCATTGCTTCTAGGATGCAATTGCATTGTACCTTATAGGAATATCTGGCTAGCCAGAAGCAACACTGGTCCAATATAGAAGTGAGTGAGTTTACAATTCTAAGTATATATTTTAAGCTTACTCCCTAGCAGGAGAAACTGAACTAATATGCAACCAACATGAAATGACACATTCGCATATGACTTGCATTTCATGAAGCTGAAAACATACCTTCTTACTACTTCTTTCCATCCTTCTTCTCTCTTTTGGCCTCTTTTTGGACTAGTCAGATTCAGTTTTATATTTGGAGATGTCAGAGGCAAGGATACCGATTTATAATTTGTCGCTAAACTTGAATTAGCTTCTCCTTCAACTCTAAACATAAAGATAATGTAGTAATGAACTACTTGTAATTAAACACTGGAAAACATCTAGTTACATGTAATAGAATTGTTTACTTTTACCTTTCCTTCTCCAAATGATCATTTGTATAATTGTAGATAGAGATTACCTCTCTGGTTAAGAGCACCATTGTATAGATAGTCCTCAACTTACAAAAGTTCATTTAGTGACCATTCAAAGTTACAACAGCATTGAAAAAAGTGACTTCATACTTACAACTGTTGCAGCACCCCCATAGTCACATGATCACAATTTAGACACTTTGCAACTGATTCATATTTATGACAGTTGCAATGTCCCAGGGACCTGTCATCATCTTTTGCGACTTTCTGACAAACAAAGTCAATACGGATGCCAGATTCACTTAACAACTGTGTAACTAACTTAACAACTGCAATTATTCACTTAACTGTGGTAAGAAAGGTCATAAAATGGAGCAAAACTGACATTAACAAATGTCTCACTTAGCAACAGAGATTTGGGGATCAACTGCGGTCCTAAATTGAGATCTACTTGTACAATATTTGAAAGCTGAGATTTTTCTACCACCATAGGACATGCAGGAAAGGTATGCCTCTTTCTACCTACTATGTAGTTACTAACTGACACAGCTGCCTTAATGCATTATATCAATCATCAAAGAACCTGTGATGAAATAGGATGGAGGACTGTAATGTTTGCCCAAATGACTGTTTAAAAAAGGTTTTAATTAAATGACCTCTTTTTTTTCTGTTCTGCCTATAAATGACATTTATGGTTGCCTAGAAAGTTTATCTGGTGTAGGCAGAACAGGTCCATGCTTTAAAAAAGAAAAAAGATATTACAAAGTAACAAAAGATATTACAAGTAACAAACCGAGAATGACCTGAATAATTCTTTTATATTGGATTTGCAAAAGAGGTTTATTAGAGTTGTTTTGAATTTTTTTTAAGACATCAAAAAGATAAACAATTTTAAAAATTGGGGACTAGAGAAATTAAAGATTTTAATTAAAAGAGAAAAAATAAATTTAATTAACTGCTACAGAATGATGCAAAATATTGTAACATTGGAAATATTGAAGGATACTTTTGAAAAACGGAATCAGAAGTTAATAATAGCAGCAATGTTTGCTTTTATGGACAGACTGTGTCCAAAATATGTTTTGGAAGAAATGTCAGAATAGGAACAAATTTTATCTGACAAGCAGAAGTGTTGACACTGAAAGTGGATCTAAAATGACAAGTTACAAGAATGCTATGGATATAGCATTCCATTGGATATACAAAAGAAATTGGTTGATGCTTTAAAAAAGAAAAATATATTACAAGTAACAAACCAAGAGAATGACCTGAATAATTGTTTATACTGGATTTGCAAAAGAGGTTTATTAAAGCTTAGATGATTCTTGTGAGAAGGAGTAAAAAAATAAATCAAGTTCTATGACATTATTTGAATAGACTAAGTATTGTTACAGATTGTCTGATTACAGATTGTCTGATACATTGTTATTTCTGGAGATTGTTAGTGGACTTTTACTGACATTTCAGGACTGAAATGATGAGACACAGGTGTGATGAAACTTGGAAGACAGTCAGTCCTTCCCTCCCTCCTACCCATTTTCCTTTTCCTTTTTAATCTTTTCTCTTTTCATTTACAATAGTTTTTACTATTGTACCGTATTTTTTGGAGAATAAGATACAGCAAGGTTTTGTAGAGGAAAATAAACGTTTTTGCACTCTGCAAACCTCCCAAAAACGGCCTGTTTTTTTGTGAAAATGGGCCCGCTTTCCCCCCAAATAAAGGTATGGAGAGACTTTAGGGAGCTTGCAGAGTGCTCCTGAGGGGAACAAAAAACAGCCCGTTTTTTGAAAAAAAAAAAAAAAAAAAAAGGACATGGATAGCCTTTAGGAAGTTTATAGAGTGCTCCCAGGGGATGGGTAAAATTGAGCAAAAAACGACCCATTTTTTGCTCATTTCTGCCCTCCCCAGCCCCCAGGAGCTCTCTAAAAGCTTCCTAGAAGCTCTGCACGACCATTTTGGTGGAGGGGGCAGGGTTTCGGGAGGCCAAAAATGCTGTATTCAGTGTATAAGATGCACCCAGATTTTCAGCCTCTTTTTTGAGGGAAAAAGATGTGTCTTATACTCCGAAAAATACGTATGCTAATTATAATCTGCGTTTTTTTAAAGCACCGTGGTTCCCAAACTATATTGCAGCATCCCAGAGCAGTATAGTGAACTCATGGTGGTGCCCCAGGATATTTAAAATTTCAAGAGAAACCCAGCAATACAGGTAGTCCTCAACTTATTATCATAATTGAGCACAAAATGTTTGTTGCTAAGCGAGACAGTTGTTGTGAGTTTTGCTCCATTTTCTTGCCACAGATGTTAAGTGAATCACTGCAGTTAAGTTAGTAGCATGGTTAAAAGAATCTGGTTTCCCCATGGACTTTGCTTGTCAGAAGGTTGCAAAAGATAATCACATGACCTTGGAACACACTAATCATCATAAATGAGTCAGTTGCCAAGCATCTGAATTTTGATCACATGACCATGGGGATGCTACAATGGCCATAAATGTGAAAAATGGTCATTATTCACTTTTTCAATGCCATTGTAACTTCAAACAGTCACTTAACGAACTGTTGTAAGTCCAGGATTATCATTTATTGGACATTACACAAAACTGCAGAGTGTGGTGAGACATTAAGGGTACCATTAATGAAGAATGTTTGGGAATCTATCTTAGCATAATGCAGTAAAGATTAAATTTAATGCTTACTAGGCCAAATCCAACAAAAGTGTACACTGTCTTACATTAGAAGAATCACAATGTTTTTCTTAATTGGTTCCTCAAATAAAAAGATTCATTTGAAACGGAACAACACAAAATATAAGAAAAAGAGACAGCAAGAACTAAGTCAGTCCAAAACTTGACTGAATAACAACAACTACTACTACTACTACTACTACTATTTTCTTATTCATTAAACATGAAACTCAGTCAAATGAACATTTAAAAATGTGTCACAAATACCACTGATTGGTTCTAATGGTTGATACAGGTTATTGCCAGAGTCCTAGGTATCAACCAAGTATCTTCTTAAAATATAAGATATTTCTGGTAGTGCAGTTTTTTGCAGTTCAGCTGTTGTTATTGCAGGAAGCTGAAATTTCTTTATGTATTTTGTAAAATTCTTGGACATGGTACCAAGTGCCCCGATAACAATGAGTATCACTGTATGATGATGATGATGATGGTTAATCTCCGGTGAGATTCACAGCCTTTGGGGCTGGTTGGTAGCTCAACAGCTCGAGTCTTAACCAAGGACCATAAACTATAAAAATGTTAACAAAACACTAGCATCGGCCTTAGTAATTGCAACACGTATGCCACTNCCATAAACTATAAAAATGTTAACAAAACACTAGCATCGGCCTTAGTAATTGCAACACGTATGCCACTAGGTATGCATCAGTTAATCTGTTTTCATAGTCATTGTAAGCATGCAAGAAAATTCACAATCCTCATCCAAACAGCACCAAATTGCAAAAAGCTTATGCTTTTCACTTAAAAACTTTAAATATAACAATATTTGCATAGCAGTTAGCATAAAATATCATAAAACCAATGGCCTATCGAAAAAATGTCATAAACTGTAAACCGTAAAGCATGCTGGACTTTTTCACATAGCTGTATACTCTTTCTTTTCTTCAAGTCAACAATAGATACACTTGGCACATTTTGTCTTAGTCAACAAGAGTTTCTGTGTTGTTTATAATCAAAAAGAATTGGCAAAGTGAAATTCCATAATCAACATTTTGGGATCTATAATGTTTTAACCATTTCACTTCTAGCGCTCAAAACATTAGTCAATTTACAGCATTAAGGAAGTTGACAAAATAAGATTCATAACTTACCTGGTTTGTACTTTGGAAACTGAGGAATTAGTCTTATCTTCCTGAGAAGGGAGCAGTACAGAGGCATATCGCTTATCACCTGAAGAATGTGTGTCCATAGTGAAGTTCAGTTCCTGGCTTTTACCACCACTGCTGCTTTCACTATTGCAATCTGTGCTGTCTAAGTTGTCAGAATCACTATTCCCACCAGCACTACCACCTCTTGGCTCACCATTAATCTTGTTTTTATCTGCTTTTTGCTGTGCTAGAGTTATATGCTGATCTGGCAAAATTATCTGCACATTTTGAGGAGTGTCCTTCGTTTTATTCTTCTTATTTTTTCTATTTGTGCTTGGAGTTGTTATCACATTGGCTCTCTTCTTACCAAAAGCATTTGTAAAAGTAGCTGAAGTTGCAGATATTCCAATGGTAGTTGTAGTAGTTGCACTTGGAGGCTCTAAAGGAATTTCTGAATCAACTAAAACAAACACATTATAAAAGTTTAGACATTCTGACTTTTAGAAATATAATACAGACTGCATTGTTTTGTAATCAGTGTCCAAAGTGGAATATTTTTCTCTAACTTAAACCAGATTCTAAAGATCCTGGTACTTGATCCTGAAATAACTAAACCAGATTGAACTTGGTTAATAACTGGATGGAGACCACAAAAATATAGATGGTAATTTAGGCTGCTGATTTGAAAAAATACCTCAAAATATGGCATTGGCAAATCACTTCTAAATTGGTGGGAAGAAAACTATATGGATATATCCATGGGAATTTAGTGGATTTGGGGGGGGGGGGGAGATCTTCACTTTTTAATGTGACCTTGAATGGAAAATGACAGCATAAAGGTCATTTTTCTGAAAACTTGTTACCTAAGAAAGTGCTTCTTAGTTTTATATTTATCAGAAGACCAATATAAGAATAAGGCACTGAAAACAAAGTGAAAGTTTACAATATAAAACTGACAATTAAAAATGCATTATATTACTGGAAGTGTGAAATAAATAATTAAGCTAAAAAATTTAGAGCAAAAGATACTCATAACGGGGAGGGGAAAAAAGCATTATTTGGGTTTATTTTTTAAATTTAGTCCAAAATGGGAAACTTTACTCATACTATATAAAGATATGCTAGGATGGTTTCCAGCCACTATGGTCACATAAAATTTTTATCAGGTTGGGAGTATTTTGAGGAAGCAGTATCACACAAATTGGGAAATATTTAACATAGCAAAACATCTATCTGAAAGACCTGGATAAATTGTTACATAAGACATATGAGAAATACACTGTATAATAGTTTAGCAAGCGATATGATGCAAAAGGTATGCTTTCCTATTCTAATGACTTGCCATTTACATTTAAGGAGTATAGGTACATTTAATACATAATTTAAACCAAGGGCTAAATGTTTGGTTTGCAAAAAATGGAAATATGTTTGCAATTGCAGTCCGTTAATATTAGAATGCCATTTATGATTTAAAGACAGTATGAATTGTGTCCCTCACCATCATCATCATTTTCCTCTTCCTCTTCATCTTCTTGAAGCTCTAGCGGTTCCTTTGGTTTGTGTTCCTCATCTTCCTCTTGTTTTCTTTTCTGTTCTTCTTTTTTCTTCTTTCTCTTTTCTTTTCTCTTCTCTCTTTTTGCAGCAAGAGCCTGCTTTCTACTCTCTTCCCTTGACTATAAAAACATTGACAATGTATAGTATATACTGATACTAAGAATTGTTTCTTAATATTTTCAACATAAAGCAAACACAAATAGGCAAAGTGTGTGGGATTATTCCCATTTATTTCCCTTTGTTCAACAAACCATACGGCAGGTAAAGTTAGCCTCTCAAGTATTGGTTACAGGTTATGTATTTGTTTAAGTATATTCCCCTCTATCCCCACAAATTTCCACTTCCAGTTTTTCTCACAAAAATAAACGTCGGTAATCTTTTGAGCTTAGAGATAGCAACTGACCTAGAAACAATTGGTAAATATTCATTGCTAAGAGTGGATTTATATCTTCCTAACTGTATCTTAAGTTAGACATTCTTAGATCTTTTCTATGACTTCCCCTTTAATAATCAAACAGTTTTATTCGAGTTAAGGCTGGGATATAAACAAATAAAAAACTTCCTTTTAATAATTAAATCTATATAAAATAAAACAGCGATAGAAACTTGCAATTTCATAATATGAAACTTTTTCTCTGGAAATAATACATCCAGTTTTTCATCATAAAGAAAGATTTGTATTTTCCCATGTTGTTCCTGGAATTTTGGGAGTCAAAAGTCCACACATTTATAATTGCTGAGTTGAGAAACACTATTTTTATTTCATATTTTCCCCTTAACACAGCAACTATAGAAAATTCTGATTTTGTTACTGGCTTGTTCGGGCTGTTCAGGAGAAAATTCTGTTAGCCTCCATATGCTAACTTGGAGCCTATAATGGCTAACAAGGCTGTCAGGATTCTGAGGTAGAATGAATGCTTGCATGCAATCAGAAATTCAAGTTGATGTGTGTACAAGCCATCAAACTGTGTCCCAGGATTTACTTGGGACTTAATATATATTTATGAATTGATTCAGATTTACATTCTAATAAAGCCTATTTAATCAGCTTTTCTGAGATAGTCAAAAGTTTTAAGTTAATTTTTTCAATTACACACCTACTTTTTTAGTAACAAAAAAAATTACAGCTTAAATTTTTGATTGCTGGACATTCACAAAAGTCCATCAAGGTACTGATAATATATGCTGTCTTAGTTCTTACATTTCTTCATGTCCAGGTTGGGAACGTATTTAATTATACTTTCACAATAAATGCCATGTACTCTACTGTTAGGTTTATTCTTTTGTTCTTTTTTCTTGTTTTTATTCTAACATGTCTAGAGTCATTTTGTGATCAAGGTGGCATGTAAATTAATAAGATATATGAATAAAATGTTAACCATCTAACAATTTTCTTTGTTAGGAATCATTTTAAGATACATTGTTGCTATTAGTGCAGAATGTAACTTTTGTTGAATAAATCATAAAAGAAAAAGAATACATTATTCAGTCTCAGATTTTCTATTGCATCTATGGTATCAAAATATAATGGCTTTTCACTATTCATGTAAATGACCACAATTCGTTAAGCAAAGCACACATTTAAGCAAAATGTCATGTGACTGCTTTGTTCAACAAATATGATATTGATTGCAGTTATTAAGCAATCTTGGGGTTGTTAACTGGAGTTCATAGTAAGTACGCTCAGCATAGGCCTTACATTGTCTCTCTCCACCTACCATATTTTTCAGAGTATAAGACATACCTTTTCCCCTCCCAAAAGAGGCTGAAAATCTGGGTGCGTCTTATACACTGAATACAGCAATTTTTGCCTCCTGAAACCCTCTGTGCAGAGCCTTTAGGAGGCTTATAGAGTGCTCCTGGAGGGCAGAAATGAGCGGAAAAAGAGGCCATTTTTTGCTTGTTTTTGCCCCCCCCCCCAGCAGCACTCTATAAGCCTCCTAAAGGCTATGCATGCCCTTTTTTGATGAAAAATGGCCCGGTTTTGGAAGGTCTACAGAGTGCAAAAACGTTTTGTTTTAAATTTGCCTCTTCAAAATCTTGGTGCATCTTATACTCTGAAAAATACGGTAGGAGCTAAAAATCTGCTCTGCTGAAATTCAAACCAGATTTGCAGCCCACGAGGGGAAAGACACTTGCACATGGCCTGCACAGGACCTCCCTTTCTTCCCTGAAGCACCCCACATGGCTTACCTCCCTTTTCACTGAGATGAAAATCCTCCCTGCCAAAACCCAGCAGGATTTTCAGCTCCTGAATAGGAACGCTGAAATGGCCTGCATAAGGCCCACAGAGCATCCTCCATCTATCCTGAGGCTGCCTGTGCTCACTTTACTGCGCTGACTTATCTGCTCAGTAAGTGAAAATCCTATTGCATTTTGGCTCCCTCAAATCTCTGTGGGCTGGCTAAAAGAACTGCCTGCTGAAGAATTTCACCTCTGTGCAAACAAGCATGAAGTTGAAATCCTTCAATAATGACTTCTTTAAGTCAGCCCCAGAGACAAGAGGGAGTCCTCTTAGCAGCCAGCAGCATCTTGCAATTTTCCCTACTGGCTTATCTGCTGACTTTCTGGAGAAGCTGGCAGAGATTGTGGGACACTTGGCAACTGGTTGTAAGGTTGCCAAGCACTTAGATCGTGCCTGTTGTCACTGTGTTTGTGTAATGTTTTGTGAGGGTCAGAAGTGTTTAACGGGCTGTAAAGCACCCTTTTCAAAGACCTTTGTTAATTCAAACCATCATTAAGTAAGCTGTCATAACTCAAGGATTATCTGTAAATAGAATGTTATTAAGAAAGATGATGTAATTGTATATCTCACCTTTTCCAAATCTAGCTCTTTCAACAGGATGCTTGCATTCTTGTTTGCTTCAGCTGCTTGCTGGTCCTTAGCCTTCACAATCGTTTCAACACACTGATGACACTTTTTCAACAATTCCTTTTCAATAAAAAATGTGAAACGTAAGATAGAGTACTCAAAACATATTCACAGTAACTTGCACTACAACTTCATCTAAGGTAGGAATACATAATCTTTTTGATCTGAGGGTTCTACTTTTCTTTTATTAGTATGCTGGCTTCATATTAAAAACAAAAAACAAGGCCTAGGACACATTAGGAAAGAAACTAAATATCAAATGATTAAATGAATTCAAATCAATTAACTTCACAAATAAATAAGACATTTAGAGCCACTGAAATATGACAGCAATTTGAAGAATTGGCAGGAGGTATATATAACACCACAGATATGAATATCTATGAAGTTAACTAGCTAGTTAGGGTATGATTTGATTCTCCCCTTCAAAATGGATTCAAGTAAAAGTGTTAAAAGCAAAATTATCTTTAGTAACTAAAAGAATATTAATTTTTTAATATTTAATGTACATTTTAATGCTCTGGTCTCTCTAAGGCAGAGGTGTCAAACTCAATTTCATGGAGGGCCACATCAGGGCTATGGTTGATCTGAGGGACAATGACATAGGGCGGTTGTGGCTGACTGGATAGGCGTGGCCAGTTTAACTCCGCTCACTGGGTGTGGCCGACTGGATGGGTGTGGCCAGCTTGATTTCATTCACTGGGTATGGCCTGCTGGGTGATCATGTGACTGAGCTGAAATAGCTTGTTAAGCCCCAATCCAGACACAGATAAAGTTGATCATTTCTTGGGCAGCTTTTGTCAAGCATGGTTACTTTACGTTATGTGGACTTCAACTCCCAGAATTCCCCCTACTAAGCTGGCTAGGGGATACTGGGAGTTGAAATCGACACAGCTTAATGTTACAAAAAGAAAAGGGAGGGGCTCTGCATGTGAATCAGTTTATCAACAAAATATCTGGAGATACCTGGCATTTTAACCTCATCTTGCCTCCTGGCCACTCACTGGCCTGGCCTCCCAAGGGGGGTGAGGAACGGCACTTCCTTTGACAGTTGACCCTGCAGGAGGAGAGCCTCTTCCCTCAGTCACCATTACATGACACAAGTCTTCTTCCCAGCATGAGCAAAGCCTAATGGGCAAGCGACTCAGAGGTGAAGTGGGCAGCGAATAATCACCCACCCAGCAGATGGTAATGGTGCCAGTCTGCTATGCTCACTAGGCTACCACAATCCTCCTTAGACTGAAGCCACCGGGGTGGGGGAGAGAAAGGAGCATGCCCAAAAGGCTGGAGAGCTTCAATTAAGGAGCGTGTGGCAACCTGGAGCCGGCAGCCACTAGGGACTTGGGAGGGCTCCCTGCACAGGCACACTGTCATTACTGCTGTGTGGGTGTCCTCAAGAGTGGCGTTGGGCTCAGGTGAGAGCTGGTTTGGGGAGAGAATCCCAGGAGAAGTGCATCCCTCGGAGCAGGGAGAACAAGAAAGGAGGCAGGAAGCCCAAGCATGCAGTTTCTTCTCCCACAGCTGTACTCCATCCCTCCATCGCAAGCTCTGCAGCTGGAGCGGAGGGACAAGAAGTGCTGCTCTTTTGTGTTGTTTCTCTTAGAAGAAAGGAAAATCTTGTGTGTACATCTGGTTTGGTCTGTGAAAGCTGTTTGTGAGAAATAATGCTTGGTGTATGCAAACAGAAAATCTATAAATGTTATGAATTGATATTTATTTTATCGGCAATTTTACTCTGTTGCTGTTAAATTCAATTACATTAACAAGCTATTTTGTGCAGAAAATGGCTCTTGTTCAGCTATAGAAATTAAACAGGGTATGGTCTGATCAGTACTAGTACAGGAGAAAACCAGGCAATTCTACAGTTGTAGGCCAAATTAACACCTCAAAAGAAAATAATGACAAATTCTGTATTGTTATCAAGAAAACTAATATGGACAGAACAGAATAAACAGATTGGAAGGGACCTTGGAGGTCTTCTAGTCCAATCTTTTCCACAAGCAAGAAACCCTATACCATTCTGGACAAATGGCTGTCTAATCTCTTCTTGAAAACATCCAGTCTTAAGAGCATTCACAACTAAAGGCAAGCTATCCCACTGGTTAATTGTTGTCACCCTTAGGAAATTTCTCCTTAGTTCTAGGTTGCTCCTTGATTAGTTTCCATCCATTGCTTCTTGTCCTGTCTTTTGGTGCTTTGGCAAATAGGTTGACCCCCTCTTCTTTGTGGCAAAATACTGGTAAAAATACTGGTGAGAAAAGTAAAATTCTATACTTAGGCAAGAAAAACCAAATGCACAGGCATCGAATAGGTGGTACCTGGCTCAATAGTAGTAACTGTAAGAAGGATCTGGCAATCTTAGTGGATAATTATTTAGATATGAACCAGCAGTGTATTGCAGCTGCCAAAAGAGCTAACACAGTCCTAGGCTGCAATAAAAGAGCTATAGAATCAACATCATGTGAGTTGATAATACCAGCTTAGGACAACATTTGGAATATTGCATCCAGTTTTGGTTGCCATAATATAAAAAAGAGACTCTAGAAAAAATGCAGAAACGTAGGGGATTGGTGGCTAAGACATATGAAGAATGTTTGAAGGAATTGGATGTGTCTTATTTAATGAAAAGAAGAATAAGGGGGGACATGATAACATGTCCAATATCTAAAGGGTTGCTACAAAGGAGTAGGGGATCAAGCTATTCTCCAAAACACCTGGTGGCAGAAAAAAGGCAATGAGTGGAAACTAATCATGGAGAACCAACCTAGAAATAAGGATAAATTTCCTGAGAACAATTAATCAATGGAATGGCTTGCCTTCAGCTGTGGCTGCTCCATCACTGCAGGTTTTTATGAAGAGACTGAACAGCCATTTGTCTGAAATGGTACAGGTTCTCCTGCTTGAATAGGGGTTGGACTCGAAGACTTCCAAGGTCCTTCCAACTCTGTTCTTCTGTTATTTCATTTGAAAGAGATGTTATTTTTCATCTTAGCTAAATGATAGCAGCAATGAGAAATATTACTACAAAAAACGTATATTGTATAGGTGAAGTCTCAAGTTATCTCAATAAAATTACTAGCTTCTCGGCACTCACCTTGTCTGCTATAGTTGCTATGTACCTCATGCATTCAATATCCGAAGGAAACTGGTTAACCTCTTTCACCAAAAATTGAACTACTCTCACATGACCCTAAAAAAGAATGATTTAATTATATAAAATTAGAAGGAGTTCTTCTGTAACATATAATATCATACTAGATATATTTCTTTTATTTTGAGTACTTTTTTTCTGCAGAAGTAACGTATCAACTTTATAGAAAACTAAAGTTTCTTGTTCTATACATGTGTAGAAACTTGAATAGATAAAGAACTGGAAAATTATGCAAAATTAGAATATTTACATACATTATATAGAAACTGGATTATCAGGTCATAAAATGTGCTCTAACAGACATTCTCAGTTAAAGACCCAGAGATGTATTAAGATTTTCTCAATAACAAGGTCACACTGGCACATAATATTTTCCAAAAGACAGCTTGCCCATCACTATTTATTTATTTATTTATTTATTTATTTATTTAAATAAAGCTCCTGGAATAATGTACAATAAACACATAAAATAAAAAAATACAGGTAGTCCTCAACTTAAAACCATTTGTTTAGTGACCTTTTGAAGTTACAATGGCACTGAAAAAAGTGACTTATGACTGTTTTTCACACTTAACGATTGCAAAATCCCAGGATTACATGATCAAAATTTGGACACTTAGCAACTCGCATGTATTTATAACAGTTGCAGTTAGTAACCATGTTACTGCAGAGATCCACTTAACAACTGTAGCAAGAAAGATCATAAAATAGGGCGAAATTCATTTAACTTGCTTAGCAATGGAAATTTTGGGCTGAGTTTTGTCATAAATATAGAACTACTTATAGTAAAATTCAAGTTAAACGTATCCAAATAAATGAAATAAAAATATAAAATAAAAACAAAATGTAAAATATTTCAAATGAGAAGTATGAAATATCTGAGAGTGAAACAGATTGTTCTGATGCACTACTGCAGGGGTGTCAAACTCAATTTCATAGAGGGCTGCATCAGGTTTGCATTTGATATTGGGGGGCTGGGATGGGCGTGGCTTGACGTCACTTGTGTCAGGGGCGCTTGTGGTGGCCTGAACGCCCTTGCCTGAGAAAATGGGCTGTGCCAGTCTCCTGCAACCCTCTGCCAGCAAAAATGGAGCTCTGTTTTCACTGGAAAAGGCACTGCAGGCCAGTTCTTTCCTATTTCCAGGGCAGCCCCGTGGGCTAAATCTAAGCATCCTGTGGGGTGGATCTGCCCCCCCCCCGAGTCTTGGGTTTGACACCCCTGCACTACAGTGATGCTGTTACTAATCTGGTAATGACATATCTGCAAAAAACCCAACCAAGCTCAGAGAACACTAAGGACTCCACAGCTCAACCCGAAGCTACAAATATTCTCTACTGTTGAGAATGTTTTGAACTTGAAATATATTGGAAATCTTTAATCAGTCTGCTTGAGCTACTAATTTTGCACATGAATTTGGATGTTTCATTAAAGTTCAAGCAAAAAATAGAATGTTCTGCACACTTTATTATAATAATAATTTGAATCAAGGTTTATTATCATAATCTTTTTAACTGGCAAGACTAAAACTAAGAGCATCAGTCAGTCTCTGAATACACAGAGGAACTTTAATACAGGTAATCCTCAATTTACAACAGTTCATTTAGTGACTGTTCGAATTTACAAAAGCGCTGAAAAAAGTGAGTTGACTGTTTTTCATACTTATGACTGTTGCAACATTCCCATGATCATGTGATCAAAATTCAGATACTTGGCAATTGGTTCCTATTTATAACAGTTGCTGTGTTGAGGGGGTCATGTGACAACCTTTTGCAACCTTCTGACAAGCAAATGGGGGATTTATTATTTATAAATACGGGTTGAATGTAGTCTTTGTAAGACCACACTTGGAATACCACATCCAGTTTTCAGCACATTGAAAAAAAAAATAGAGATAAAAACATATGAAGAATGGTCGCAGAAACTGGATATGGCTAATCTAGAAAAAGAAGATTAGGAGTGACATGGTAGCAGTATTCCAGTATATGAGGAGCTGCCACAAATAATTTATTTTCCAAAGCACCAGAAGGCAAGACAAGGAACAATGGATGGAAACCAATCAAGACAAGACAAGTAAAGTAACCTGGAATTAAGGAGAAATTTCCTAACAGTGAGAACAATTAACCAGTGCAATAAAAGTTGGGGGTGCTTCTTCACTGATGAAGAAGGGACTGGACAGCCACTTGCCCAAAATGGTATAGGGTGTCCTGCCTGATCAGAGGGTTAGAGCAGAGGACCTCCAAGGTCCTTTCCAGCTCTAATCTGAATTTAATTGAATACTATATTATTCTAACCCCTTGCAGTGTTTTAAATGAATTTCCTGTGTGTGATAACTGTCATAAATCATTTTAGTTTTGCTTTGTCAGCATGGAAGCAATGGTATTTTTCTGGGTAGTGAAAGGGATCAGTAATGATTTATGTTTCTACTGGATTTTCACTACAGGGATTGTGTATTTTATTTACTTCTAAAAGTAAATCTTTATTTAATTTTTAATTTTTCCTTGTATTTCTTTATTACGGGGAGATCTTTTCAATCTGAGCTCTTTTGTTATAGTGCCTCCCCAGTTTCTGATAATTGTTTATGATTGGCTGTAAAAGTTTAATACAGAAGAATCTTGAATTAAAACAAAATGGAAACAAATTATATTAAAGACAAGAACATTTGGGGAAGCCTTGAAAACAAAATGCCTTTCAACTTACAAGACCTATTTGAAATTTCACCCAAAAAGTTTGGTAGCTTAACAATGATTTTAAATCAACTTAAAGATGATACTCAGATGCAAGCAACAACTGTCGAATCCAAGTTTACGATTGGATGGATTGGAACTTAATTTGTTGCTGGCAAACCCGAAGCAGGAGTCTGGTTTGAAGGCAGGTTGCTTGGAGATAGCTGAAGGGACTATGGATCGTAAACACTCAAAAGTTGGCAGAACTGATGGCTGATGAAATGGATTCTTTCAAAAAGACTGATGGACATTGGGGAATGGACATTATATATAACTGGAAAACAAATGTTAAAGAGATGTGTTTCAATTTATAGGAGAGTCTTTGATTTTGGGGAATGGAAAGGAATTTTGGGGGGAAATTCTGATTAAAACTTTCAGGAGATTTATTATTATTTAACATTTAATCTTCAATTTGATTTGACAGTTCAAGTCCTAACCAAGAACCTAAGAACTGTTAAGGTAACAACTGAGTGGGCAGGCATGTCTGAGTAAGGTAGTTTTTTGCTGTCAGAATATTCAGGTCGAAGAAGTTTTAAATTTCCAAGTATCTAGGCAACCTCTGGGGCATTGTTCCAAACTTTCCTATTACTATAGGTGCAACCATTGATTTCTCCTTCCACAATCATCCTCCTCTTCCTTCCCCTCCTCTTCTTTTCTTCTTCTCCTCCTCCCCCCTTCCGAATAAACATGGACAAAGTATCTAAGAACTTATTATTATTGTAATATTCCCATGGTCATGCGATCAAAATTTGGATGCTTGACAACTGGTTCATATAAACTGATTTATATGCAGTGTCCTGGGATCATGTGATCACCTTTTGCAATCATCTGACAAGCAAAGTGGGAAGTCAGAATCACCTAACAACAAACCCTGCTACTAAATTACCAACTGTGACAAGAAAGGTCATAAAATGGGGATAACTCACTTAACAATTATCTGGCTTAGTGACAGAAATTTTGGGCACGATTGTGGTTTTATGTTGAGGATTACCTGTACATTTAACAATCAATGAGATATGAAATAAAATGTATGCAATGAAATAAAAAGGGTATACTAGCAATTAAGATTCAATAATTCAAATATTTGCAGCTTGCCTCAATTCTAAATATTTTAATCTCAAATCCATCAAATAAAATTACCTTGCGAAATGCAGACATAAGGGGTGTGATTTTCCGATTATCTGCAGCATCCACATCAGCTCCTGCCTGCACAAGTAGCTGCACTACATCAAGGTGACCACCATTTGCTGCCAACCAGAGTGGTGTGTTTCCTTTCTTATTGCGAACATCAATATGTGCTCCCCTAAAAGGAAATCAATTTTTATTAAAATAAATAATTCAGATACCAGTTGAAATTAAATTTTACTTTGCAAAAAAAAAATCAATGGCACCTGGTTAACAATTTCATATTACTTTTAATTATCAACATATAAATGCCATAACAGAAAACTAGAAATGAATATTTCACGTGTTTGGACTAATGGTTAAGGCACCAGGCTAGAAAGTGGGAGGTAGTGAATTCAAATTGACCATTGGCTTACCTGAAGGGTCATTCTCTGTACGCTGCAGGAGAGGCCAAGCATGGGTTAAATTAGTCTGGTTACCCTAGGACTGAATTAAAATACTTTAGCCACGCCTCCTGTTCCTCCTTAAGGCCAGTTTTCTAATGATTACTGGAACCAAAAAGGTGCGATGATATGGCGTGGAGAGAGCCGAGGTGGCGCAGTGGTTAGGGTGCAGTACTGCAGGCCACTTCAGCTGACTGTTATCTGCAGTTCAGCGGTTCAAATCTATCTGGCTCAAGGTTGACTCAGCCTTCCATCCTTCCGAGGTGGGTGAAATGAGGACCCAGACTGTGGGGGGCGATATGCTGACTCTGTAAACCGCTTAGAGAGGCCTGAAAGCCCTATGAAGCGGTATATAAGTCTAACTGCTATTGCTATAACTGCTAATGTCTGGTATGCCCGAACCCTGGGTCTGCACAATACCTGGGCAGGTTGGACTCTCCCACAGTGCACAGAGAACGACCCTTCAGGTAAGTCAATGGTCATTCTCCTGTGCGCTGCTTGGAGAGTCCAAGCATGGGACACACCCACGAGAGAACGCCTCCTGCCACATACCTCCCAACGACCAATAAGATCACATAGGTTGGGCCTCCTCCGGGTGCCTTCGACCGGACAATGCCGGTTGGCGGCTCCCCGAGGGAGGGCCTTCTCTGTA